GGTCCGACATTGAAGTGGATACGATGACGGTATATTTCGATTCTAACAAAGTAAATTTTTTGTTACCGTGTATTAAACGTACAACGTTTAATTTCGATCGGGCGACTCGATTCGCAACTGTCAGTTGCAACGCACAGTACGGATTTTTCGATCCCAACGAAGTTGTTCGATCTTAGTTAGTTCCAAATCGAGTTAGTTAGTTAGTTCCACCACTCGATTGTGCGCTGGCGTCAGATTCAGTGGTACGAACTGCCTTGAATTCGAGTCCGATTCGATTGATTCAGAACTCGAATCGGTCGGGAGTAGGCCTATGGTCAATGGTACGATGCAATTTGAGGGACTCGTGAAAGCGGCCCCTTTTTTGGTATCGGGGGGGGGGGGGGGGGGGGGGGGGGGGGGGGAATCTTCAAAATATATCTATCAATATATATTTACGGTGGTAGGGCCACGCAGCAGCCTCGGCTGTTGCACGAATGGGCAGGCCCGTCCGGGTAAGTACCACGACCTCACAGAAGACCGGCGTAAAGTGGAAGTATGACAAATACTTTCTCGTTTCGTCTGGTGAGTGAGGTAGCCGGAGCCCAATTTTCAAAAGGTTGTCAACGCATCTGTAACCCTCGAGTGTAGCAGATGTCCATGGGCGGCGGTATTCACTTAACATCAGGTGAACCGTCTGCTCGTTTGACAACTTTTCGCATAAAAAAAAAAAAATCTATCAATAATAAAGAAGAAGAAGATATATAGAAGATATATTATTATACATAATAATATATCGTCAAACTTATATTTCTTCTTAGATTTTACTCTTTTTTGTCTTGCCTTATAAAATTACAATCTGCTTTTTTAATCTTAATTTATTTAGTAATAAGTTAGTAATAAGTAACGATATTTTGTTCATACTTTTCGTTTAACTTTTATTATTTTTTTTTTGTTTTAATTTTTAAGCATGCTGTGTTTGCCTCTTAATTAGATGTACATTTAGTTGTAACATTAACTCATGTTTCATGTAATATTGTTTTTAATGCAACATCTACTGGCAGACCTAATAAATAATAAATAAATAAAAGATATCCTGTCACCTTACATGACAGGGTTGTGTGGGGTTCTAACCCACTAAAACCCTCTCGGTGACCAACTTCAGTACGTTTGGAGGGACTCTGGCAACGGATATGCAACCCTACGGGTGTTGCAAATGTCAATGGGCGATGGTTATCACTCAACATCATGTTACCCTAGTAATACAAATGATATAGAGTATAAATCAAAGTCGTCCCGCTGTCTGTCTGTCTATGTATGCTTAGATCTTTAAAACTACGCGACGGATCTTTTCGTTCTTAATTAGATAGAGTGAATCAAGAGGAAGGTTTATATGTATAATACCTTGACCCGAATGGCGTTGTGTACCTGCCTCCTGCGCCAGAGGGTGTGGGTTCGATCCCCACTACCGGACAAATATTGTGTGATGAACATAGCATTTTTCTAGTGTCTGGGTGTTAATATATGTATAATATGTGTTTATTTACAAAAGAAAAGCATGTTTAAGTATGTTTATCAGTTTTCTAGAACCCATACGTACAAGCTTTGCTTAGTTTGGGACTAGAGAATGTTGTGTAAAAATGTGTCCTAAAAAAAAAATACATTGCACCCGTGCGGTGCCGTTGCGGCGCGTTAGTCTCGCGTGAAAGAAAATAACGGAATACTCTGCCCCCTTGGTTCCATGGCCCACTCACTTGCTAGGGTCAAACAGCACATGGGCCGCCGTCAGCACGAACAATGGACTGATCAATGTGCCAGCGCCGATCCACGCGATGTCAGGGTCATTCGGATCCACCTTCTTCTTTCTACACCCAAGGATAGTCTGAAAGGATTTTTATTGACCGACTTCAAAAAAGAAGGACGTTTCTCAATTCGACCGTATACATTTTTATTTTAACCCGACTTAAAAAAGATGGAGGCCCCACTGCGGATTGGCGGACTTGACATATTTTCGAAATATTTTTTGTTATTATTTCGAAAATATGCAGGTTCCCTCACGACGTCTTCCTGCGCCTGACTTGACTACAAATCCGATGCCGGCACCAATGAAATTGTTAATTTTAAACGCTGAATTATCAATTTTTCAGCGAGCAAGAACACATCGTGAGGAGAACTTATCAAGAAGTGAGAAAGTTAGCCGGGGCCCACTTTATTTAAAATTGGCAATGCATGTGCAACCCTAATGTTAGTGTTGTTAATGTCCATGGGCGGCGGCTATCACTTAACATCGGTTGAACCGCCAGCTCGTTTGCCACTTTCTCACATAAGAAAAAAAGAAAAAAAGAAAAAAAAAGATCTTTCTAGGTCAGAGTGTTTGTTGGGACTTTCTACCCAATAACTTCCACACGAAATGACCCCGTGGCGCAGTTGCCAAGGCATTGGCTTCGGCGTCGGGGGTCCTGGGTTCGATTCCCACACGGGACAACTGTTTGTGCGAACCACAGACAGTTGTTTCGCATCTGGCTGTTTGTCCGCGTAAAATTTATGTATTTAAAACGTTCTTGAAACACAGGATCATGTTGTCCTAAAGTGAGGACATTTTTTTTTGATAAAAAAAAACAAATATCTCACTTTCGAGGCATTTAGCTGTTTACTTATCCTTACCATGTGAGGGAACTCTTCGATGTCAGCTATCTCCCCGTAAGCGATCTTCGGCACGGTGTTTTGTGGACACACCGCCATGCCGAGTCGCGGCTCCGAGTACGTGTAGCATGCTGCGAGAGGGAGAAAGAAGGAAGAGTAAATAGAGAAGATAGTATAAGAACTTTTTCATATTTTTTTTTTGTGAAAAATTGCCAATCTATCGGGCGCTTCACCTGGTGTTAAGTGAATACCGCCGCCCATAAACATCCGTGTGTAGTAACAAGAGGGTTGCAGATGCGTTGACAACCTTTTGAAAATTGGCCTCCGGCCACCTCACTCACCAGACGAAACGCGAAAGTATTATACTTCCACTTCACGCCGGTCTTCTGCGAGGTCGTGGTACTTACCCGGACGAGCCTGCCCATTCGAGCCGAGGCTGCTGCGTGGCCTTACCACAGTTAATCTATCCATAAATTCAGCCCAACTGGGTAACGGCTAACTACCCTCGTTTGACTATATCAGACGTTGACGTCCATTTTAAGGTTAAAGGTCCATTCTAAAAATTCACACGCCGTTTTAATATCGATCAGGTTAAATCAAACCATTTCACGGATTCGATGGCGTTTTTATTTGATCTTTCAAATTCCGCACGTTTCGAAACTATTCCCAGCGTTCACGATCGCGACCGCTAAATGATACGTTCCATTTTTTAATGTGTACAGGGTACGAGTAAGTACCACGACCTCAGACATCAGAATACCAGCGTGGAGTGGAAGTTTCGTACTTCTGCGTTCCGTCTGGTGAGTGAGGTAGCCGGGGCCTTCTACTACAAGTGGAAGCGCATCTGCAAACCCACGGGTTCTGCAAATGTCCATGGGCAGCGGTTATCACTTAACATCAGTCGAACCGCCAGCCCGTTTACCACTTTCTGACATTAAAAAAAACCCTTCACGTCGAAGAGACAGAGGGACGCCATCAGAACTTCGTCACCTGATGGCAAATATTGACGCTTCCCCACCTACCGCCGCAACGGTGGTCACCTACCGTCGCAGGCCGCCGCAGTACTTTGGTCGTCGCGGCATTTCAGGTAGGAGCGGTCGTTTATTTCTGGCTTGCGAGTGGTCACTATTGGCTGGCGTTTGCAGCAGACCATCGGGAAGTCGCCCGTGTAACGGCACTCCTGAAATAAAGATTCCATTTCATATTCCATACGATGAGTGACTGATTTGAAACGTGTTTTTTAGATAAAGGAAGGTTTAATACTGTTTGAATCGCGTTTGTTATTTGAGGATCTGTACAGCAGCGTAATATAAAGGTTAGGCTTTGTTCTCCGTATCACTTTATTTTTTTTATGTTAGACGGTGGCAAGCGAGCAGGATTCACCTGATGGTGAGTGGCAGCCGCCCCCATGGACATTTGCAACACCCGTAGGGTTGCAGATGCGTCCACCTTTTAATAATGCGCCCCGTTACCTCACTCACCAGACGAAACGCAGAAGTGTAACACTTCTGCTTCACGCCAGTCTTCTGTGAGGACCTGCCCATTCGTGCAACAGCGAAGACTATTGCGTGACCGGCCGTAGGGTTGCAGCGTTGTCTCACTTTATAAAAAGTGGCAACGCATCTTCAAACTTAATGGTCTTGCAAATGTCATCGGGCGGCGGTTATCACTTAACATCAAGTAAACAGCTAGAACCTATGCCACGTTCGACATAAAAAAAATTAAAGCGATACGAATAAGAAAGCCTAACCTTTGCATTAGGTTTCCGTACAGATACTCAAGTAACATTCGAGGTCCAGACAGTATTGCACCTTCTTAAACCTTCTTCCAAATGTGGACGAACCAAGAACTATTTCTTGGTTCGTCCACACGTCCACGTTCGTCCACGAACCAGGAACTATTTCTTGGTTCGTCCACACTTGGAAGGGACACCTTAGATATAATTAAATCAACGAAAAGGTTATTTGTATTATTCAACAGATGAACAAGTTCAACATCTAATTCAACATTTATATTTTAATTAATTAGCGCAATTTTATTTTATCGAATATTTTCTATGTTGAATTCATGTTCAACATAGAAAGTACCTACTCGAGCAGTACGTTGTTACTAGCTACCCACGAACTCTTTGATTATTCAATTATTGAGTAGCAACAAAGAATGACTCTGTGGCGCCGTAGTCAAGCTATTGGCTTCGGCCTATTGAACACCTATTTGTGAGACCCACAGATAATTGTTCCGGATGTGTGCGTTTGTTTTGCAAGGAGGGTAGACGTGAGCCACGAGGCCGGTTGTAAAAATCATAGACAAAACCGCGTACAACATGATTCAAAAGTTGTGAACCCCACCTGATGGGATAGAGCATGAGGATGATGATGATGCAGCAACAAAGGTCCGTAAGAGGTCCAAAGATCCGTGTTGGCTCCGTGGTGCAGTTGCCAAGGTACCTGCTTCGGCGTCGGATGTCGTCGGTTCGATGCCCACACGGGACAACTATTTGCGTGGCCCACAGATAGTAATTGTTTCGCAAATGTGTTTGTGCGCGTGATATTTGTTTGTAAATCGCCCTTACAACACGGGACAGTGTTATCCCAAAGTGAGGGCAATGTTTTTTAAATTAAAAAAAAAGCTGATGATAATGTTGATGAGTGGAAACAAAGAACCTTAAGAGGTCCAGAGCTTACCAGCTCGCCGTCCGTCAGCTTCCCGTCTTGCGAGTCCATGAAGGTCCTGCCCAAGACGCCGGTTTGATAAATATCGATCGGGCAACACACCAGCCTGTAGGTGCCATTGTTGAAGCAGTCCTGGAAAAGGACAAACGTATTTTTCTTAAAACTCTCTGGTAACATTTGTCGATGGAAGTGAATCGATTAACGCTATCACTTAACGTTAGGTGAACCGCCAACTCGCTTGCCACCTTCTCACATAAAATAAGGCTATTTTTTTTATTAACAAAAATCAAAAGCGACTTCAAATATCTCGCTCTGTATTCATTTTATAATTGATCTTCAGGAGTTCCCTAACTATCTCCGGATCCCAAGATCCAATACCAATGAAATTATTATGGGACCACATACGAAGCACCAACTTTCAAATAAAAAAGTATCATCATATTTTTTCCGAAAAAATTTTTATTGTTCCAAATACACTTGTATAATTCCAATCGCTCATACAAATCACACACGAATAAAATACACACACAGACAGGCATGTCCAAAAATTAATATGCAAATGTTGTTATATTTATTCATAGTCTTTTATTGTTAAATTTGTTCTTGTTTATTATTTATTGTTAAATTATTATTGTTATTATTACTGTCATCATCGTCATCTATCGACCTTACCAGGCTCCACTGAAAACCAGCAATCGCAAAATTTTTTCGCAATGTAACGCCGAGTGGGTGACCTTTTTGTTGCATCGACTGATAATTTTTCGTTGTTTTGTTATTTTAAGTTGTTGTTTTTTTTTTGTACCAAATAAACATTTCTTTCTTTCTTTCTTTCTTTCTTTCATCAAAACCGATACACTCAGTCGAAAGTTCTGAGGTGACAAACATAAAAAAAATACGGATGAATTGAGAAAATCCTTTTTTGAAGTCGATTGAAAAGCATGTGTATATATGTACGAAATTATACTTGTTCGGCGTAAAGACATTAAATGACGGCAATTGATAACGGTTTATTTTAATGACTTGAAATTATCGAACGTCAAAAAGTTGTTAACGGCTGCCAAGATTACATTGGTCACCAAACATGCTTTTAATGGTAGGCGTGTGTGCATAGTACAAGTTTTAATCTCACAATTTTTCCAGACGCGCCAAAAGCAGTATAACTTTTTTTATGTGAGAAAGTGGCAAACGAGCAGGCGGTTCACCTGATGTTAAGTGATAACCGCTGCCCACGGACATTTGCCACACCCGTGAGGTTGCAGATGCGTTGTCACTAAAAAAGGGCAATATTTTTATAAAAAAATAAGAAAAGAATAAAAAAACCCGGACTCACCGTCGGCTTTTTCTCTTCCTCATTGATGAGCTTCTCGGCGTATTCGCATTTGTAGTCCGGCGTGCATTTTCCAGGAATGTTGCCAGCCTCCTCCACTTCGCATGGCTCGTCTGTGCCAAGCAAAGTTATGTGATAGTACAGGTCTATTCAACTTCCAGTTGCATCTCGACGACGCCAATGTGTGGAGTTATTGTGTTGATACTCACGTAGGGTAGAATAAGACTATTATACCGGTATGTTATATCGTTGTAAAGTAAAAGTAAAGTAAAGTAACAGCCTATACATGTCCCACTGCTGGGCAAAGGCCTCCTCTATATAGAGGGTATCAGGGCATAGTCCACCACGCGGCCCCACTGCGGATTGGTGGACTTCACATATCTTCGAAATATTTTTTTTTGTTATTATTTCGAAAATATGCAGGTTTCCTCACGATTCGCGGAGCACGTGATAATATAGCACTTAAAGTTAAAAACTTCATTGGCGCCGGCACCGGGGATTGAACTCAGGTTGCTCGAGTATATTGAATTAAAGGCGAGCGCCCGGACACTGAGCTATCACGGCTCGCTATATATTGTTGAGTAGTTCAATTTTTGATGTAAAATTTGACGATTCATAAGAGCGCGCAAGCGTCTGTTTGAGTAAATATAATTTTTGATTTTTTGATATTGATTTTGTAAACTAATATTTTTGAAAAAGAGCAACTGTTGAGTTTCTAGCCGGTCTCTTCTCAACAGAAACTGATTTCCGAACCGGTGGTACCTTACGAACCTCTATGTATAATTTTTTATGTAAAATTTGAAGATTCATAAGAGCGCGCAAGCGTCTATTTGAACAAAGATATTTGATTGAATTCAAAGTCGAAGTCAAAATTATTGTATTTCATAGTGTAAATTTAAAATGCATTCTTTTTTTTCTACTTTTATTGTCTTTTTATACTATTTAAAATATAAGTACCTGGAGGACCGAGCTTTGCTCGGTATTTTGGAAATTACATTTAGATACAAATTACTGAGTAATGAAATATACATAATATTTTTCGATCTTACCGACTTAATAATAAGAAAATATGAACTGGCGTTTTCCGCAAAAGAAAGAACTTTAAAAAAAAGGAAAAAAAACAAAGCAACAAAAAATAAAAAATAAAGAAAGCGATGATCTGGAATCGAAAAAAAAAGAATATACAAGAATTGCTCGTCTAAATGATAAGAAGGTAACTAGTTTTTAGTATATATTGATTCTTCTGTTAAATTTTATTATTGGTTTTAACTTTTATTTAGATCGTAAATGCTGTGTATACCTATAATAGACATAAGTATAAAAAGCGACGCGTATAAGAAGCCGCGCGGACGAAGCCGCGGCTAGCAGCTTCGGCCGCGCGGCTAAAGGGAATTAACAATGATTTTTTTTATTCTATACTAGAATATCTCGCAAATGGCTGATTTTTTTCCAACTTAGTTGACACATCATTAGGGCACCTATATTTTGGACAATTCACACAATCGACACTAATATTATAAACGCGAAAGTTTGTATGGATAGATGTTTGTTACTCTTTCACGCAAATACTACTGAATGTATTTTAATTTAACTTTGCAATAATATAGCTTATACATCAGAATAAGACATAGGCTATAATTTATATTCATATTTTATGTATATCTGTCTTTCTGTCTGAATTTTACGTCTTCGCGTCGATTCGAGAATGGTTAGATTCACAATTGTTTTTTTTTTTTATTTATGAGTTGTTGTCGGATTTAAGTCGCGTGTACAGAACAACGTCTGTTGGGTCCGCTAGTTCTTTATATTGTTGCTTTAAGCTCTCGTTTAACGTCAAAACAACTAGCACCGCTTCATTAGACCTGTCTAGAGAAGAAAAAGCAAGAAACTCTCTGCGGTCTTGTATTAATTTGTTTAATGATGATAATATATACAAATTTATTAAGTATAAAAAAGCCCATTGTCAGGGCATACTCTGTTAATTCAATATAATCGAGCAATCTTAATTCAATTCCCAGTGCCCGCACTGATGTAATTGTTAATTTTAAGTGCTGACTTATCACGTGCTCAGCGGTGAGGGAAAACATCGTGACAACCTGCATATTTTCTAAATAAGAAAATTCTCAATTAAATTTTGAAGATATTCGTAAAGACAAGAAAAAAATTTTTTTTGATCTAAAGCAAAGTCTACCCTATAAGCGGTTGGGCGCGTGATGGACTATGCCCTAACACCCTCTGTGCAGAGGAGGCATTTGCCCAGCAGTGGAACAGGTTTTACTCCACCCAGATGCGGCACAGCTATCTATGGGCAATATGCTTCTCTGCTTTTATCATGATTCTCTTTGCGAAAGGTCGCGACACAAGAGATAATGATGAATTGCTAGCCGGGCCGCGTTCTCGGTAACAAGGACTTAAGATTCCACTAGCCTGGTCACCTGGCTTCACATGGGAACATAAACCAAGCAGCCGTGGTGGCTCAGTGACCAATCATTCACAAAGTGATCTCTGTTTAGGGTCAAGGTCACCTTCGTACAGTCCTCTTTTTAATCGTTCATTTGTAACTATATCTTTTTTGTGCACAATCCATACTAATATACTAATAAATTACTGTCTGTCTGTCTCGCCTTCACTCTAAAAGTACTGAACCGATTTAAATGAAATTTGGTACACAGATAGTGTAGAGCCTGAGAAACGAAATAGGCAATTTTTTTAATAGGGGAAAAAAGGGTTATAAAGCGTTCTTAAATGGGATAGATATTTATTTAAGGGCTTCAACACGAGCGAAGCCGCGGCCGAAAAGCTAGTAAGGAATAAAGAAAGATTTAGACCAATCATGACAAATCAGTAGCCATCACTTTTAATTTAGCAAACTCGAGCAACCTGATACCTAATTCCGCCGATGCCGCCAATGAAATGGTCAAATGCAATTTTAAATTCTGACTTATCACGTGCTGGGCGGCGAAGGGTTAAGTTCCGTCTTTGTATAGTATAATTCTTCTGTACGTGAGTATGTCACTGAACTCCCCCTAAATGGCTGGACCGGTTGTATTGAAATTTTTTGTGTCTCTCCAAGTCGATTCGAGAATGGTTTAAACTCCCAAATTCTGAAAGTTTCGGATTTAAAACGTGTGAACGGGACGGTTTTGTTGGTCCGCTAGTTATATAAAAACGGCAAAAAAACTGTCTGTTCAATGGGAGCCCCACTTAAATATTTTTTATGGTTTTTTTATGTATTTGTTGTTATAGCAACAGAAAATCGTCTGTGAAAATTTTTACCGTCTATGTATCGCGGTTTATGAGATACAGCCTGGTGACAGAAGGACACTTTTACCCTTTGGGTACGGAACCGTAAAAATTACGAACAAACAAACATATTTTACCCTCTCGTTGTATAAATGAATGACATCAATGATTTAGGTGACCTTTAACGCTATCTTAAATAAACGAATTCGACTCTCGGAACAGGTTAAAGAGCGCTGTTTACAAAACACTGTCCATAAGTAAGATAAAAAGTTTCTTTAATTAGAACTTTACAACTAGAACTTTACAACAGAAACTTTCCAATAAAAACTTTACAAGTCGCCACCATATAATCAATGACATTAAAAAAGTATAATCTGTGCACAATACATTGTATAATCTGTTGTAGAAAACAAACTATTTAAAAAATAAACAACAATAATAAATAAAAAATCTGGCTCACCTTGAAAGTGTAACGAGGAAAACCGAATTAAAAATACGAAATCGTTATCCATGGCGATTTAAGTTATATTATCTTCGGCGGCATACGAACCATGTTTATTTAAGAATTCAATTAATCACTTAGTCGTGGGATAGCGAATACGTTTGGCATTTCCAAAACTATAATTGGAGAAGGATTGGACTAAAATTTGGAGCAGACTCACCTAAATTCTCGCCGTAAAGCTCGGATGTTACTAGAGCGACGCCGAAGACGGCCAAAACTGATAACGGCACACTGCACATAGTTCGAAAACTGCACTAAAACAATTCTATACTCAGGTTAAGTTAAGTTTAGGGAATACTAGAACTGAATCATTTGTGCTTGTAACCGGACGTCCATCTGATTACGCGGAGGCATAGTGTTTGATTTGATCGTTCTTAACAACGCGCCGTATACAGAATGTTGAAAAAAGTTGACAGCAGATAAATAGATATAATCGCGAACGTTGTCTTATAATAAGCAAATAAGCGTTAATTAAACGAACGCGTTACATTTCGATACGTTTACGTTTTCAGATACGTTTTGTTTCATTGTTTAGAAAAAAACTCATGTCTGGGTTAGTCCTGTAAAATATTGTGGAAAACTTTCAAAGGTACAATGATATTTACGATGTGTAAATGTAATAAAGATCATATAGATAATTAATTGTGTGGGTTCTTTTAAAGAAAGTTATTTTCATACTACACCCAACCTGGACATAAAAAAATGTTAAATTATGAAATGTTATGTTCTCTACCTAATTAGAATATCCTAATATTATTAGAATATTACTTGTATTACAATATATATATATATATATATATATATATATATATATATATATATATATATATACCTATATTGTATACGATATTATAAGAATAGTGTCTCTTTTTGTTTATATTATATTAGCGACCAACCCCGGGTTTGCAAGGGTAGAATGCTGAATGTTTGTTGTCTGTCGACATTGCATTAGAAACCTCTAAAAATATCATTGATTCTTTACTATTACGTATGAATTATACACATAAACCTTCTTCTTGAATCACTCTATCTATTAAAGAAAACCGCATCAAAATCCGTAACGAAGTTTTAAAGATCTAAGCATATATAGGGACAGACAGACAGCGGGACGACTTTGTTTTATACTATGTAGCGATTTATTATGTGTTAATTTCTTAAGTGATAACATAAGTTTCATGTCGAAATGTTGTGCACACCTTTAAGTTAAATACATATATAGTATAATTCTGTTAGTATCCGCAATTTTTAATTGACAATACAAGACATATGTGATTAGTTGGTAAGCCTAAATAAATAAATAAACTTTTTACGGGAAGAAATTTGTTCAGCTTAAATAAATACTTAACACATTTTGTAATGTGGTTGATGTTATCCTGATTAGGTTTTCGTATACGAAATTATTGACATAAGATCTTAAACCTTTAACCATGCTTTACTAGATTTCAAACTACTACTAACTAACTACTAATTGCATATATGTAATTTATACGATTTATCCGCTCAAAGAGCATTTTACATGTATGTGGAGGATAATCTCCGGAACCCTTCCAACTTCCCAAGATTACCAACAATTTTTATCTTTGAAGTTTTTATCGATATTAAGTGCAGAGCTTTTAAAATCAATGTCATGTTTTATGAAATAGATTTGTTTGTTGTTGTCACTAAACGGGCTTTCTCTATAAAATATGACATAAGAAAACACTATCTAAAATTAGATAAATAATTACTACTACTACTACTACTTGAACTTGAATGAAATAAACAACTTTAGGAGAACTTTTCGCGTTTCTCATGTTAACGTAAAGGTAGAATAATAGCTAAACAATAGCGAAACGGGTAGAGTCACGAAACGCAACTCAGATTTAGCTTTAACAATTCTATCCAATCTTATCAGGAGGTTTGAAATTTTTCCAAAAATTTTTCGGTGACATTCTATTTTCTACAACCAAGTTACTTCTCTCTTCTCCGACAGTTGCCGAATCATTACTTAAGAAAAAAATATGGAATGTAAAGAAAACTTTAAATTTACTACTGTTAATAATTCTCTGGATATTAAAAGAACTGCCGATCTATGGAGAATCTCTGTCAAGTTGATTAGTTCTATTATTGATTGAATCTCTAAAAGACTTTGTTTTATATTCTGTAAAGATAATATAGTTATAGTTGATGTATGTATGTATATATACATGTTTGGTTCATTACATCACCTTATAATCGTTGTCCTATAGATGTGTCAATGTTTTGATAGTTATTATGTTAATTGTGTAAATTTATTCCAGCAAGGTTTCCATGATTTATAATAACTAACTTGTTTGTTGTTATTTACGTATCTCTGCAGTAAAGATGAGACATTGAAATTTTAAAATTGAATGTTTCATCTTAAGTGCTTTGTTTTTAAAAAATAGCAACGGCGATATCTCCCGTTCGAATTGTCGTTGTAAAACGATATTTGAAATTGTTTGTTTGCTGTAAATGATATAACAATAGATGCGCCAAGCATTGCTTGAAATAAGAAATAAAAAATCTGATGTAGATATATAATTTATGTGAGAAGGTGGCAAACGAGCTGGCGGTTCACCTGATGTTAAGTGATAACCGCCGCCCATGGACATTTAAAACACCCGTAGGGTTGCAAATGCGTTGCCACCTATAAATAAAGTGGGCCCCGGCTACCTCACTCACCCGACGAAACGCAGAAGTGTAACACTTCTACTTCATGCCGGTCTTCTGTGAGGTCGTGGTACTTACCCGGACGGACCTGCCCATTCGTGCAACAGTGAACACTGTTGCGTGGTCCTCCCACCGCGGTTTCTTCGGCGTGGTAATCAGCCGTTTAGCTTAGCAGTTAAAGCGTCTGGGCACGAATCCGCAAGACGTGAGTTTTATTCCCGCAGCGGCGACAGTTTGTTACCAGAAATTGTAGACACGCACGTCCATATCCATGCCGCTGAGAAGCACGACTTAATTTTATTTACCTTTACAACCTTTATTTTAACCTTTATTTATACCTATATGAAAATGAAAAATGAAAATGAAAATATGTTTATTGACAAACTAACTACTTCTTCTTCTAACTATAACTTGTTGTTTACGTATTACAAGTTCATTTTTGGTGGCCTGCAAATAGTATATTTATTTTATTATTTATAGTTTTACAATCATTATTTACGATATGTCGAGTTCAATTTTTTTATTTAATAATTAATTACTGAATACTGAGCGACGAGCATTCTTGCAAGGAGGCCACCTTTAGTCTTCTTTAAACGTTGGGCCTTACTTTTGGATAACATCGTCCTGTGTTGTAAGGACGTTTTACAAACATGAATTTCACGCGGACAAACAGCCAGATGCGAAACAACTATCTATGGGTCACACAAATAGTTATCCCGTGTGGGAATCGAACCGACCACCCACGCATGCCTCAATCAAGCTTTTTGGTTGTTTAACTGCGAAGACAAATGACCGATAGTTCATCCCAAGTATTGGGACGCCCTGGTGAGGACGGCGCGGCAGAACCTCAACCTTCTGCCCAGGTCTCTCCCGTCTGTCCCAGTCGAACGATCTAGAATACGGTGCATTTGTTCGGTTAACAAGCTACGAGAATCGTGTTGTTTTGAGTAAGCTTAAAACAGACCAGACACTATCACTAGAGTGTGCCACCGATATCCTACTCTCAGCGACAGTTGCAATCAAAGATCTAGAATACGGTGCATTTGTTCGGTTAACAAGCTACGAGAATCGTGTTGTTTTGAGTAAGCTTAAAACAGACCAGACACTATCACTAGAGTGTGCCACCGATATCCTACTCTCAGCGACAGTTGCAATCAAAGATCTAGAATACGGTCCATTTGTTCTGTCAATAAGTTACGAGAATCGTGTTGTTTTGGAGTAAGCTTAGTACAGGCCAGAGACACTATCACTAGAGTGTGCCACCGAAATCCTACTCTCAGCGACAGTTGCAATCAAAGATCTAGAATACGGTGCATTTGTTCGGTTAACAATTTACGAGTATCGTGTTGTTTTGGAGTGCGTTTAGAACGGACCAGAGTCACTATCACTAGTGCGCCAACGATATCCTACTCTCAGCGACACTCCCAGTCAAACGATCTTGAATACGTTTTTTTTTTGTCTTTTTAAAAAACGTTAAAACAAACTTTCGCATTTATCGGTCTACATCGCTCTACAGGGTGACAGTGGTGGTCCGCTGACGGCCAGAATCCGATGTTGAATTTGTTCGGTTAACAAGTTACGAGAATCGTGTCGTTTTGGAGTGCGTTTAGAACGACTTTCGGCGTCAGGCCAAGAGTCGCCAAGTTCCCTGAGCAGCCCTGTTCCGGGCTCATAGAATAGGAGGACTAAGGTATCTCCTGCCTGTCGAAAAAGGCGAGTAAAAGGGGACACGGATTGGTATCAGGTCGAAGTGGCCTCGAGCTGCTGCAAGATGGCGAGGGAATCGGGGCAGGTTTACCCTTCGACGCGTGCTCACGCCCAGTACCGAGGGACACCGTTGCGTTCATTAAGAGATCCCGGGGTCCCTCCAAACGTGCAGAAGGGCGCCGCCTTGGGGGTTTTAGTGGGTAAGAACCCCACATAACCCTGTCACGTAAGATGACAGGGTATCTTTTGAAGATTTCCCCTCGTGATACCAAAAAAAAAAATGGCTAGAGTCGCTATGACTAGAGTGTGAAGTACACTTTCAATGACACACTAGCACCCAGAGCGATTTCTAATCTTACTTTGATTAGGCTAGATCTTTACTGCAGATAAATGTAAGGTACGAAAAATAAGTGACGGCTAAGCACATACTTAATTTTTTTTGCGGGTATGTAGGCCTTTATCGGTAAAGCAGAAACAATAACAAGGGGTTTCAACTTGAACTCGGCAATCTATTTACAACCAAGCGTAAGCATTTTCAAAATCACTAGATTGTGAACGAAAATTGAAAGTACTCACCAGTTTTTCGGTCATCTTTACCACACAATGGTATATACTACTGATGTAACAGCAAGGAAAAATGAAATAACCTCGCTTTTGTAACGCGGCAAGAAAAGAGGGAAACAAATAAAGTTAACCGATTTGAATAGCCAAACTGCCGTACCTCAGGATTGAAAAGCGAATATGGTCGCATGAGAAAACGAATCCCACTTCAGATGTTACGAAACGAAAGTAAGTTCCTCTTAAAAATAAATCAATAAAACCACTGGAATATATAATTTTACGAAAATCAAATGCAACTTCCTAGCATAATTATTGCGAACAATTTATAGTTAGTTAGATTTTAAACTTCACGACATAAAATCACGGCAAGAATCGACACTTCCGAACGCACAGAGTATAGATGATTGTTTTTTTTTAAGTGAAACTTTTGAAGTGAAACTTCTTTATCGGGGTTGGAAAAAAATTTAGTGTAACATTTTTGCGTTACGCGCCATCTTTTTCTTAGTGGTTTTAATAGTTGACGCTAGATGGCGTTAGTTCCTGTGTGTGTTCATAACAATATATATATATATATATATATATATGTTATATTAAAGTGATCAGCAAAATCAAAGGGTTTATTTTAATTCTAATTCTAAAATGTAAACAATATATTTCGTATTTCAGTTACCATAAGCCATTAATAACACAAATATGTAATAACGACATCAATGATAGTAATAATTCTATTACAATTAATGAAATTCAATAATAGTATTTGTAGTAATGACAGTGCTACAAGTTCGGTTTTCCAAAAAAACTTCACTCACAACACGCGCGCGAGTCGAATGTCTGCCTTCTACTCACTGGCTGACTCTTCGGCAACGAAGGACCATGTACAAATTCAAGGCGGTTGTATTTTGGGTCCGTGAGCTTAATTGAAATAAACAAGGTTCACGTTGCAAGTTTTTTAATCAACAATTTTTTGCGGACCCTCATACTAATTACAACGGTCAAACCATAGTGTGTTTTAATTTACTACTAACGCCACCTATGTATTACAAATAAGAAACTAAATATTATACAAAGCTAAAATGAAATAATTGTAGAATTTGTATTTATGTCTATGATAATAAAAGCCTTTTATTAAACTTATCTAATTTAACTTTATTTAACCAATTTCTGTAAAGTTGCATATAGTAAATTATTTTTTGAAAAATAACGTCATAAAAAAGTTTCACTTCTTACGAGTGTACGCTAGTACACGCACACACATTTATTTATATTGCCGTGCTAGTTTCCGGTCTTGGGAAGCTTGAAAGCTTCGGTAATAAGAAAATTTTATAGATCATAAAATAATAAAAAAAATAATATATGTTTGAAATATTTTATTACATTTTTTTTATACCTAACTTCGAAGGTGGCCATTCCATTTAATGGAAGATAACGGAGAAGAATTTTAATTTGGTGTGCTTCAAGATTAGCTAAATCTCGTTACAAGCGAGTAAACAATCTTCTAGTAGCCAGAGTGTAGAGAATTACGCGTCAGACGATATTTATAGTATAAACGGAATAAATAAGTTGTGCAATTAACATTTTCTAAAACAGCGTTTTGCGACTGTAAAAAAAACTGAAGTAGTAGTAGTGGGTAAAGTAGTAGGAGTGATTTATTATTGTTATTCTCCAAGGCCCACTGACTAGCGGTTAAGAATTGGGCTGTGATGTTTTAGCCTGTCGCGCCTTTGTCCGTTCAGTAAAGAGCTATTCGCGCGTCCAGTTTCTTCTGTTTTAGCCTGTCGGGCCAGACGACGCCTGCGATCCACTCGAGGTATCCCACGTACGACGCGTTGGTGTACGATGCCGGTGCACCCACGCCGCACATGTTCCCCCAAGAGACCACCGCCACCACCACGCTGGAGCATGGCAAGCCCTCGATTCCGGCCGTCAGCGGACCACCGCTGTCACCCTGTAGAGCAATGATCCTTACTAAAACTATAAACGCGAAAGTTTGTATGTATGGATGGATGTTTGTTAACCTTTCACGCAATACTGAATGGATGTTAATGAAACATTACAATATATATAATTTATATACATATTT